TTCTTTATGGCTTAGTACTCCATTTTATATATATATATAAAAAAACCCACATCATCTTTATCCAGTTTCCAGTTAATGGGCACTTGGGGTGTTTCCAAGCTTTAGCTATTACAAACTGTCCCGCTATAAACATGGGTGCACATATATCACTGTGGTATGATTCTTTTAATTCTTTTGGGAAGATACCCAGCAGGGGAATAGCTGGGTCAAATGGGACTTCCAGTCCTAGTTCTTTGAGGTATCTCCATACTGATTTCCACAGTGGTTGCACCAGTCTGCACTCCCACCAGCAGTGCAGAAGGGTTCCTTTCTCCCCAGAACCCCACCAACATTTGTTATTGGTCGATTTCTTGATAGCAGCCATTCTTTCTGGGATGAGGTGGACTATCAGTGTTGTTTTCATGTGTATCTCTCGAATGACTAGTGATGTTATTTCTTCATATATTTATTTGCTGCTTTTACTTCTTTGTCTGAAAAATGTTCATTTCAGATGCCCATTTTTGAATTGGGTCTTTAAATCTGGGGGGTCTGATATTTTTCAGTTCTTTATATATTCTAGTCGTCTGAGTTGCAGCTACTAAAAATTTTTTCCCACATTGTAGGTTGTCTGTTAGCTCTGTTGGTGGTTTCTCTTGCAGTGCACAAGCTTTTTAGTAATGAGATCCCAGCTACTGATTGTTCGTGCTAGTTCCCATGCTACTGAGGCTTTCTTCCTAAGTCTTTTCCTATGCCAGTGTCTTCAAGAGTTCTACCTATCTTCCAGCAAGTTTAGTGTTTCTTAGTATTTAGATCTTTAATCCACTTTGATCTTAGTTTAGTGCATGGTGATAGATATGGGTCTAGTTTTAATCTTTGGCAGGCTGAAATCCAATTTTTCCAACATCATTTATTAAATAGGCTATCTTTCCTCCAGTGAGGGTGGTTGGCTCCCTTGTCAAAGACGAGGGAGCTCAGTATGTCTGGAGTTGTTTCTGCATCTTCTATTCCACTGATCCTCGGGTCTGTTTCTTTGCCAGTACCATGCTGTTTTTATCACAGTAACTTTGTAGTATAGCTTCAAGCTGGGGACTGTGATACCCTCAGCCATGTCTCTGTTGCCTAGAATTGCTTTTGCTATTATAGGTCTCTTCTGGTTCCAAATGAATTTCTGGATTGCTTTCTCTAGTTCTGTGAAATATAGTTGGAATTTCAATCAGCATTGCATTAAATCTATACAGCAGTTTTGGAAGTGTGGCCATTTTCACTATATTGGTTGAGTGTTGACCTTGTATCCACCTACTCTACTGAATCTGTCAATTAAGTCTAGAAGTCTTTCGGCAGTTCTTTGGGTGTTCTATATAAAGCATCACATCGTCAGCAAATAATGACAGTTTAACTTCTTCCTTTCCTATTTTTAGTCTTTTTATTTCTTTCTCTTTTCTAATTGCTGTGGCTAATGTTTCCAGAACTATAATGAACAAGAGCAGTGATAGTGGGCATCCTCGTCTTGTTCCTGATTGTAGTGTGAAAGTTTTCAGTTTTTGACCATCTAGTATGATGTTGGCTGTTGGTTTTTCATAGATAGCCTTAATCAGGTTAAAATAGAGACCTTCTATTCCAATTTTCTGTAGGGTTTTTATCATGAATGGGTGTTGGATTTTGTCCGTTGGTTTTTCTGCATCTACTGAGATGATCATATGGTTTTGGTCCTTGGCTCTGTTAATATAGTGTATTACATTGATTTATGAAATGTTGAACCATCCTTGAATCCCTGGGATAAATCCGACTTGGTCAGGGTGTATGATCTTCTTAATGACCTTCTGTATTCTGTTTGCCAGTATCTTGTTGAGGATTTTTGCATCTATGTTCATTAGGGAGATTGGCCTGTAGTTCTCTTTCAGCTGGGTCTTTCCCTGGTTTTGGCATCAAAGTAACACTTGCTTCCAGGAATGAATTTGGGAGTATTGTTTCCCTTTCAATTTCATTGATGAGTTTAAAGAGTAATGGTGATAGTTCTTCATGGCCACCCTATTTTAAATATATACTAATTCATTCCACCATACCCAGTAATAAGCTTTAATTTGCTGTGAAAAAAATACAATCACTTGGGACAGCTTGCCTCCATCCTCCCACCCCACTGCTGGGTCCCATGCTGCAGGGCTGCAGTGCACACACCTAGTTCCCACCACCAGAGACAGCCAGGAAAAGTGAGGGTGTGTGTGTGTTGTGGTCGAACAGGTTCAGGTTCAGTTTGGTGCTTGTACCTCTGAGTTATGAACCAAATTAGAAGAACATCAGTAATTGGTTATGTGTCTTCATTCACAGTCACTAAACCTTTGCAGAGCTCAATACTGGCTCCCGGGTTCTCTCCATTGGCTTAGAAGAGATCAGTTTCACAAGAGTTCCACTTTAGATATTATCCTTCCCTTAAATAGGAGATTTAAATCCTAGAAACAGAAATTTGTGGAATACATGCACATTAATGTTCCCATTCAGATTTTTCTTTGTAGCTTATACATAGGCCCATCAGAAGTTTATTGTTTTGTTTTTCATGACACAGTAAGAGTTATTCTAAAATCAGTTCCTCCTTCAGTTTACTGAAGTTCCTTAGGCTCCTTTTAAAGTACCTGTTACTATGCCCTGCCTTTACTAAACTATTTGGGGGTTTTATGCTTAGACACATGTCACACTGACCTTACACACTGATGGCTTTCTTTTCATTTTTAGCAGTCAACAGTTTTAAAGGCATTTATTTTTATGCATACCTACAATCAAGATTCCCCGATGATTTATGTTTCTAAAAATACTTTCTAGCCTTTTGAAGGGAGTACTTGCAAAGTATTGCTTAAGAAACAGAGACAGAAAAACGATCAAATCATAATTTAACTTCAAAAGATGACACAGCCAGAAAGTCTATGGAAGTCCTATGAGTAGATGGTTGGAGTCCTCTATCATTACAGGTGATACTGCATTTCCCAGTCTCTGGAAAATCTTCAAAAAGTAGAATACAAGCTGTTAGGTAAAGTAGGACCTTGGGATGAGAGGATGAGAAAAATAACACAGAGCCTCCTGCCAGTTAAAACAACAAAAAACAAAGCACATAAAAATCCATAAATGTGTCTTCCAATTCTACCTCAAAAGGTATAAAATTGCAGGGAGATACAAAGGTAATGTCCATTTTCCCTAATCAAAGAAAAATCAAACATTAACTGAATTAATCATAGTGTAGTTGAGACCTGGTCTCAAAATAAAAAATACAAAGGTCGGGGATGCAGCTCAGTGGTAGAGCTCTTGCCTACCATATGCAAGGCCCTGGCATGGATCCTAAGTACTGCAAAAATGAACAAAAAGAAAGCAGGTTTAGCTCTGTTCCGTGTACTTAGAATATTTTTATATGCCATATTCTAAGGGAAAGGAACAGCAACCCTTTCAGATCAAAGCCCACACATGCTAAAATCCTAAGTTAAAGACCAGGAGCCGCTTGTTCTTTAAGGTCTCAGCACTCATCCAAGTGCAGGAATGAAATCCGTAGGATTTGTACATTCAGAAGTAGCTCAGGTGAGGAGGAGAAGCTGAAAATGCTAGGAAAAAGCAATGTTAATTCTGTGCAACATATACAGGGAAACATTTTAGGTGTAAAAGTACCTTGAATGAGTTCAAAGTTGTAAGTCAGGCCTGCTTAACATGGAGATAATTTTTCTGCCAATAACACAGGGCCCAAAACTTCTGAACTCCCACAATAACTTTCTCTGGAAGAGCAAGTGAGCAGAGCGTAGTTCTTACTCCCCTCACGCTCTTTTGGAACATCTTACAATTTTGGAGATCACTCTAAAAGGATCATCCTTCTGCATCCATTTTTATTCCAGTTCAATTTCTATTCTGCTGATAGCACTTTACCAGCTCAGGACTTAAGTCTCTGGGCAACTGAAGATGCAGATTGCAATAAATAAATATTATCTTTTAGATGGTCTGATTTTTTCTATTTCCTTAAGTGCTGTTTCCTTTTTTTGGTACCAGGGATCTAACTTGGGTCCTTGCGCTTGTGAGCCAAGTGGCAGAACCACTGAGCTAAATCCCCAGCCCAAGTGCTGTTTCTCTGAAAGCTTAGCTTTTATGATGCGATGATCCCACTAAAGCTGGATGGCAGTCTGACAACAGTCTGGCGAGGCCTAGAGACGAACACAACATAAAATAAACACACCCTTCTGAATTATCGATGTGGTGGCTAAGACCCAATTCATACGCACACTCTAACAATAACATACATAGGAACAAGAAAAAAATATGACATATAAGTGACTAAGTTGCCCAAAGTCTAGTTCAAGTCCACTAGGCATATTTTCAAAACGCAGATAATGAGTATTACCGTATTATTCACATTCAATAGTGTACACGAAACAATGGCCACATTCAGTGTTCCTCAAGGGCACAGAGACCTACTGCCAGACACAATCTAAACTCCAAGCTGTGCTTCAAAAAACATTCAAAGTTTCAGGCAGGAGGCACATGCCGGTCATCTCAGTTACTCAAGACACTAAAGTGACAGCATCACAAGTTCAAGGCCAGCCTGGGCATAAGATCATCTCAAAACAAAAAGGGCTGGGACACAGCTCAGTGGTAAAACACCTGCCTCGCTTGTGGGAGGCTCTGGGTCAATCCCCAGTTTTGAACTAAAACCAAGTTCAGAAATGGATAGACAGTAAGCATATCCAGTTGTATAGTGACAAATATGAAGGACGTGTCAAGGTCACCAAGTCATTAATTTGACTTCTGGGTGGCTCCTTATTCAAAGCACCACTGCGCTTCATAGTGAAAACATATGGCCTTATCAATAAACATCTAGCAAAACGTGAGGAATATTACTAATGCCGTACTGGGAAAAGACTAAAGTAACAGAACAGTGTGTGCATCTTGAGTTTTCCCAACAAAGACTGAATTCTTAATTAAAAGCAAAACCTTCATTTTGAAAGGTTTGTCCCTCCCCTCAGAAACAGGTTAGACAGCTTATAAACTGTACGAAATGGGATCAGAGAAAGATTTTATTATGAAATAAGTTTGGTACTTCGGGAAAGACCACCTCTGCAAGTGCTGAGCCAACCAAGGCGCTGCTGACTGAATCCCAGTGTGCAATGCCGGGCTCCCGAGGACCCTGCCCGGGTCTGTGTCCCTCAAGGACACTGCGGGCCGTGAGCAGATGGCACGGTAGGGCTGCCTTCTTCAGACCGAGGCTTCTGCAGGCCACACAGGCCTCACCTCACGCAGCGCGGCCACGCTCTGGCTGTGTTTCCTCACGCTTCTGCTGCAGCAACTCACGGACGACCTCAGATCTCTGCCGTTACTCGTCCTCTGCCACCACATGAGCTCTGTGGACCTGGCAACGGGCGCCACCTTCAGCACTGTATACAAAGGGCACAGGAAGACTGAGGCCAGCCTGGCCCCACCTCTGATGGAGGTCAGTAACTGAGCTCGCTGGGCCTTGGTCTCCTCTAAAAACAGGAGTGGACATCAACTCGGCTGTGACTATAAAACCATGACTCTTTGGAACTTTAGAATACTTCACGCCCCCAACACTGGAGTGCAACTGCAAGCAGCATTCCTCATGACTCTGGTCTAGCCTGTCATGGCCAACAGAGCAAGACAGCCTAGGTTCCCTCACCGACTCCCAGCAGCTCCTCTGGCCTTCAAAAAGTCCTTCAATGGCTGGGTACTGTGGCACACCTATGGTCCCAGCTGGCTGAAAGGCTGAGGCAGGAGGACTGCAGATTTCAGCCCAGCCTGGGCACTTATCAGGATCTTGTTTCAAATAACAATAATAATAATGGACTAGGGATGTAGCTCAGTATGAAGGTTCTAGGTTCAATGCCCAGTACCCCCCAAAAAAGAAATTCTTCAAATAATCCCACTGTTGGACCCAATTAATCTTCTATGAGGCAATCTGCTTAAAACAGAAGTTAATTATGTCAAATCCAAACTAGTGTTTGTCCCTTCAGCAGAAGACAAGACTATGGAAGGGTATTATGACCTCATTCCAGAATTACATCTCAGCAGATCACATAGAAGATCACTACAGAGAGCCATTACCACCACCAAAAAGAATCTTTTTAAACAGCCAGTTTATCATTTGAGAGAATTTCGATGTGAGGCATTAACATATATATTCCTCTCCAAAATGAGGATCCTCTGATACAAAACTAAGTGCTCTGGGGACGGGCCTGCACCTTGCGCCTTCCCCTGAGTTCTCCCGGAGCCCTCACTGGAGCCTACTTGGTCTCAGATGAGGCACAGACGTAGTTAGCACCTACTGTCAAGAACTCCTCGTCAGAACACCCCAGTCCAGTCCAGCCCGCTCCGGCCCAGCCCTGCCCGGCCCTGCGGTCCCCACAGGTGGTTCTCAGAGACTTTCGGCCTGAGGCTAGCCAGGAGCTGCGGCGCCCTCTGCCGCTCTGCCGCGTCACCAGCCTGCCCTGGCGGGTCACAGACTCGTCTCCTCGCACACCCGCACAGGGACGTTGTAGTGGCGGTCGTCCTCAGCGATGAGGGTCACCACCGGCCAGTCCTCGGGCGGGTCAGTGGGGTAGACCGTGATGAACTCCTCGGTGTTGTACTTGGACAACCGGTATACCCGGATGGTGTGGCGCACGGCATAGGCAAGGAGGAACATTTCCACCTGGGAGGAAAGAGCAAACGGGCACCTGAGGGGAAGCGTGCCGAAAGGCGGGCCTCACGCTGGGGTCACCCAGCATCCCAGGCTGCACAGCAGCGGGTGCACCGCAACCTTCCCTCCCCAGACTTCCCCACCAGTGCTCTCTACACTAAAAGGCAGAAAATCAGGAATGCAGCAGATATCTGAGAAGGGACCGGTAACCAGAATTATAAGGAATGTTTACAATTCAACAAGTCAAAACTAAACAGCTTAAAAATTGGGCAAAGGATTTGAAAGACATTTCTCCAAAAGAGATATGCAAATGGCCAATAAGTACTGGGGAACATGCTCGGCAACATACATCATTAGAGAAATGCAACTCAAAACCACAGTAAGATACCACTTCACATCCACTGGAATGGCTATAATCAAAAAGGACAGCGAAATGGGACACAGATACACTGCTGCAGGCAATGTAAAATGGTCCTGCGGTTTTATCTTTAATCTTTGAGACAGAGTCTCACTCTGTAGCCCAGACTGGCCTCAAACTTGTGATCCTCTCTCTCAGCCTCCCACGTAGCTGGAATACTGGCGTGGAGCACCACACCCTGCTCTAGCACAGCTGCTTTAAGCAGTTTGACAGGTACTCAAAAGGGAGACAAAGAATTGCCATGTGCTCAGAAACTGCACTCTTCGGCATACTCCCAAGAGAAACATGTCCACACAAAACTATCCCTGAGTCTTCATGGCAAGATTATTCATAGTAACCAAAAGGGAGAATACCCCACATATCCATCGGGCTGATAAATGAATAAAACATGATATATCCACACAATGAAGTATCATTTACTTGTCCATAAATAAAAAGGAATGAAGCACAGATACATGGTACAATACAGATAAGTCTTTAAAACATTACGCTCAATGAAACAAGCCAGGCACAAAATATCACACAGTATATAACTGCATTTATGTGAATGTCCAGAATAGGTAAATCTAGAGAGAAGACAGACTCGTGGCTGGCTAGGGCTGGGGGGAAGGAAGTGATTGCTGATGGTTTGGGGGTTTCTTTTGGAGGTGATGAAATGATCTAAAATTAGACTGCAGTGGTGATTGCAAAACTTTCAAACAGTGAATCTGACTGTATGTATGTAAATGATATTTTTTACATTTTTGCTTAAAAAAAGACTCACTATTATAGGGTCTCAAAAAGGTCCAACTTCAGCCTAACGTGCAAACCGTGCTCTTGCAGGTCTTTTAGCAGTAGGAGACATGAGTCACCCGCGCTGTAATACAGGTAACACCTTCACCTTTCCCATCCTGCCTAGCGCAGCCATGGCCCCAGTCTCTGCTCTTCCTGGTGCCCCGCGGATGGACGGTGCGGGTGGAATGGACTCTACCTGCCAGGACAGTCCACACAGGCCAGAGCTCGGCTCTCCATCCCTCACCGCCTCTGTCCAGGCACTTGGTCTTTAAGGGAGGGAGTCCATGATGTAAGCAGAGAGGCAGCACTTTGGATGAACAGCCCTAATGACGCCTCAGTAGCTAGCTAAGACCTTTTAGGGAAATGAACACACCAAAGTGGTGCAAGGTATGGTGACTCAACTGATGTCTATCTAAAACTCCAAATTCAGCATACGTGTAAAAGACCCAAGAGAGGCTACGTTCTACTAGCTGAGGTAAGTCCATCTCTATTTTTAATGCAGCTACAGTTGCCAAGATTAAACAAGACCCTTCAAATGGCTCTTCCAAAGGCTCCACTTACTTGCAGCCTCCCAGACCCAAGGGTACTCATCCCACCTACCATCGTTCAGAAGAAAGCCCTAGATGATAGAAAAATGGCAGTTGTAAAATATGGCCACAATTCTTTGACACTCCTCATGGGAGAAGACAGAGCTCAATTCCTTTCTCCTTGAGAGTGTGGCTACCAAAGACTAGACCACGGAAGCATCCTCCTTGCTCTCTGCTTGAATCACTCTGGGGTCCATCAGGAGGACACCCAGGTGGCCCTGTGGAGAGGCCCGTGTGGTAAGGAATTGAGGCTTCCTACCAGGACCCACGTGCTCATGGAAGTGGACCCTGCAGCCCCACTCAAGATTTCAGATGACTGTGGCCCTGAACAACACACACAGGCACCCTCCCGACACCCTAGGCCCGAACCCCCCAACTAAGCTGCTCCTGAATTCCTGACCTATAAGCACTGTGAGGTCATGCTTGATGATTAAGGCTGCTACATATTGAAATAATACACTCCCAAAAGCAAAGCTTACCTGTTCAAGGCCACCAGTGTGTCCCACCTGGTTTAGGTGGTTCCTCAGGAGCTGTCCAGGATCATTCGATGTGTCCCGAGCAAAGAGGAGCACAGAGAAAAACGGTACTTCCTTTCCCTTCTCTTTAGCATCATACAGTTCAATGGCTCTGTTCAGCATTAGAAATTTTACAGCTTCATAGAGGCTATACTCCTCCTCCTCATTTGTGAATAGCTCGTCACAAGCCATCTGCCGCTCCTCGGCAGTTCTCATCTCAGCCAGGCCTGCCCACTACAACAAGGAAGTTATGTGAGGGTTAGAATTTTTTGTTCTAAAAATCCCTGGTACACTTCTACACTATGAATGCAAAATAATTTTCAAAAGTGGAGATCATGAGTCATCCCAATGCTCACAACATTCAAGTTCCAGTTCCAACAACACACCCCTTAGACCACACAAACTCTATTCAGCTTTTCTTCCCATTAATTTCAAACAGACGCACAATGCAGTAAGGAAAGGGAGCAGGGCCCTGGGGCCCTGGGGCAGAAATTTCAAATGAACTGGCCAATCAGAGATACTTGTGGAAAAGCCAGCAGGCCTGTGTACGGAGCTGAGGAGACTACAACTACTCCACCCTCTGAGGTGCTTCCACGAAGTAACTGCCAAAACACAAAGCCACCCCTCCAAAATGGAAGGCAGGCAAGGAACATTAATGGGGTCTCCTGAGTATCAGTTTAAACTTACCTTCTAACCTCTTAAATACACATGAGCTTCAAATGCATAAATCCATTTAGAAAAATCTTACTGGCTACTGATTAAGAACGAAGCAGCCGTAGGGCCGGGGATTTAGCTCAGTGGTTCTGGCGCCTGCCTCACAAGCACAAGGTCCCAAGTTCGATCCCCAGTACCAAAAGGAAAAGCAAAAGAAGCAGCTGTCAAATATTCAACTAGCATACCTACCCCAATTCTTTCAGGGAAGAAGTAAATCCTACAGATAAATGTGCTTTTAAGTTACAGTGAATAAGAGATGTCAACAAATATCAGTTCTTGCAAGTAGTGATTGTTCCCCTTTCAAAAATCACTACAGATTTTTACATCCAAGAGTAAATTTTAATGGTGATGACTACAAAGAACTCTCAACAATATTTGGGCTGAAACCTGGAACATGCTGTCCACATCTTACAGTTTCCAGAGCAGACCAAGCTGGCACCAGGAGCATGCTCTACAGTCAGACAGGGCAGAATCAAAGCCTTGCCAGCAAGCAGCTAGTGGCTTCCACAGGATATGTAACCAACCTCTGGGTCTTAGTTTCCACATCCGTGAAACAGGGATGACCACAGCGACATCAGCTCTGTAGCTGTGAGAAGAAACTAATGTATGAAACTTCTAATGTAAAGCATGTGACAGTGTCAGCAGTGGTGGCTCAGATTACTAATGAGTAATATTAAACTCGTTATAAACTGGCAACACTTAAATATTCCCCAAAACGACAGTCTGATGACAACAGACATACCTAATAAAGTAAAAATACCAATTTCACAAGATCTTAAAGATGAAAAGGAAACTGCTATGTACCTCAGCTGAAGAACCCTCCTCGCTCACACACACAGGGCTAGGGCCTTGCCCATCAGCAACCCCAAATCCAGCGTTCCACTGTAGTAGCTAACAGGAAAAGAAATCCTGTTCCCTTCTGCCTCTTTTCTTCATAGTGAAAGATAAAAAACTACTGGGCTTCCTTTGACAGTATACTTTCTAGTGAACATTTATCTTCGTAAGTAAAAGTTAGATTCCAGGAATTCAGGGCCCTCCATTCAGTTGACAAAGCATTTACCAAATACCTATCGTGTGCCTCGCTCAGTGCTAGGCGCTAGGCCGGAAGGAAAAAACGGGAATCTCTCACGGAAAGGAGGTCTACGCTGGCAGACAGACTAAATGAGAGCAAACAGATCTCCTAGGGTGTGTGCTAGGAAGGACCCCAAAAGTCCAGGTGTGACCCACCCCACCTTAGTACCTAATCCCTTCCTCCACTGGCAAAGCCTACAGCCATCGACAACCCCTCACTTTGGGCTTCCTGAGGGGAGGGCTCCAAGCTGCTCAATGCAAGCAGCCCGAGCTCAGTGTAGGCCAATTACAAGCAGGACATCCAACCGAGAAGAGACCACAGAAAACCACAGAATTTTAAACACCAAATCAAGAGCAATCAGTACACTAAGTTCTCCCTAAATTCTATTTCACATGAACCCAGCCCAGGAACAGTTTTCAAAGGCCATGTCACAAAATCTATTCATTGGAAAACCATCAAGAAAGAAAGTCTTCAATAAATATGAACAGAATCTTAAAACACAGACATAACTGGGACGAATAAATGAATCAGTATCATTGATAATAAAAGAACTATTGACTAAATGATTATTTCTGAAACCTATAAATATGAGTTAGAATAAAGACTACATTTGTTAAGGTTTCCTTTTAAGAAAGTTATACATACACTAATACATGGCAACTCCTCCCAGAATATATAATGATGGTGTTTCTCCATTTCACCAAAGACCTCATGGGAAGTTCCTGTTTGTTTGCTTTACCTAAAACTCAGCCAATTTCAGTCTCCAGAACCAAGAACCAAAATAAACCTTTTCTTCATGAGTTTAAATAAATAAATAAAAATAAATAAATGAACCGAGAGTGTCTGCTAACGCAATGAGTGGAGACTAAGAAGTGGGCTGCTGGGCAATCAGCAGCAGGAGCATTGCACTCATCAGACAGGAAACTACACGTTCAAACCTTCTTCCTCAGCAGGGCAAGGGACTCCTTAATTTTCTCAACCAGGTCCTTGCTCTTCCCATCGAATTTCAGGCCCAGTTTCCACTGCCTGATCCAGTTGTATCTGCTTATCAGTTTTTCCGGTAACTAGAATACCAAAAATAGAGAGAGAAGCATTAACACTCCAAGAAATGCATCACAGGTGATCCAAACCAGAAGAAAACACCAAACCCACTTTATTGCCACACAATTCCTGCAAGTCTGTCCTGCAGGTCAAAGACGGAGGACCTACATCCCACCCGAAGTCAGGAGCCACATGGAGGGCTGGGCCGGGACACACAGGCACGGTCTAGCCTGCAGGATGGCAACCACGGCCAGGGACGCTCCTCGCAACTGCAGGACAACCGGGGCAGGACCTGCACTGCACCTTCCCAGTCTGGCCTCTCAGCTCACTGGCAGCCTCCCTCCACTCCCTAAGGCATGGCTCAGGGAGGCATTTTCCAAGCTCAGGATAAAGTCAAATCCTGCTCTTTTCTTGCTTAGGAAAATAAAACCTAATTCCCGATTTTTTTTAAAAGTCCACTAAAAGAAGGCAGAAAAAAGATCTTTTTGTTAATATTTTTATATACATATATGTACATATATATACACATATATGTACATATATATATGAGGTGGTCAAAATATATGGTGAATGTTTCCATTTTTTTAAATTTATTACAGTAAGACATTGCCATGAATTCCTCTCAAAGGACTCCCCCTTGCTTTGAACACACTTCACCCATCATTCTTGCCACTTCCTCAAGCAGTTCTGAGAAGTCCTCTGTTGTGAGTGTCTAAAGGTGTGATCCAAAATACTGAGAACACCACTGCCAGGTTCCTTCCAATGGAATGACGGGCTTGTAAAAACATTAAGGTGCCCTCACCCACCTGATCCACTAGATCTAGCACAGTGGGGCTTCCAGTTCTTCCCCAAAGTCAAAATGACCAGGAAAGGTAAACATTTTATATTGATTCAGGACACTGAGGTAGCCACAAGAGAAACACACACTCATGAAAGAGGACCCTGGAGACACTCACGAGAGAGGACTTCCAGAACTGCTTCAGAAAGTGGCAAGGATGACGGGATAGCTATGTTCAAAGTGAGGGGAGACCTCGGAGGGGGAATGATGGCAATGTGTCTTTTACTGTAATACATTGTAAAATTTAAACATTCACCATATTTTCGATCACACCCTGTACTGAAAATTTTAACTTTTACAGAAACTACTTTCTAGTTCAACTGCTTCATCAACACAGTGAGATAAAAAGACAACTGAGAATAGGTAGCAGGAGTTAAGGGAACTGTGACTGTCTCGCTCATGAAAACATGACCGCTGAACTGCTGCAGTGCTAATTTCCTTTCTTCTGCTGTTGCTCCTCAAGGATTCATTTTGTTTGCCCCTAATTATCAATAGAATCTGGGGCTTAAAAGGCAAGCTGAGACACAACCTGGCTGGCGATGGCATGGGAAATCAGGCTCTCCCAACAGTCTTGGGTGTGTCCGGAGAGATCTGAGAATTGGGCTGGGCACAGGCGTGTCACTCCACTGCTTTACATTGTAGAAGGGAAAAAAGTTCACCTCTGCATCAAAAGGCCATTGAACAATGACTGAACGCTACATATCCTATAAGGAACCTGGACTTGTTTTAAATGAGGCCCTGCGTTCAGTTTTACTGGAACCCAAGGGTCAAACTGCAATCCTGACTGGGCCTTCTCAGTCTCTGGCAATCCTGTGAAATTGAGGTGGTTTCATCGCTACAAAAAACAGAACCACAACAGGGCTACAATCACTCTTCACCATGACCACAGTGATGGCGATCTGTATCACCCCCTGAACGGGGTGTCCTAGTCATTTTATTATGACAAGTGACGGCCTGCCTAAGAGCCACAAAAGCCCCATTCAGTGTCACTGTCCTGTGCTTCAACAACATGTGGGCAGTTCCGCAGAGCCCTCAGTTTGGTCTCTCAGATGCATCACCAGAGCCTAACACGCCCTCAAGTGGTAACAAGCTGGAATGACAACTGGCACAAAGAACCAAGAGTAAGCAAAAAGTACTGGTTCCAAAGATGGGACTGGGACACAAGGTACAGGGCAGCCCAGAAAACCAGCGGGGCATCCGTGACATTGTGCAGTCACCTAAAAAGCAAGGGCAACAGCAACTGGGTTACCCTGGAGACCCCAAAGATCTGTCTACCCCAAAGACACAGTTTCATCATCAATTTCACTCACTGGTCAATCTGTTGCTAGTGATTATCCAATTCAGCATTGTTTGGTTCCAGGAGATGGAGAAATCCTGGAGAAAGTCCAAAACTCAGACATGAAAAAGAAACTATTAGTAAAGAATAATGGAACTAGGCCAGGGATCTAGCTAAGAGGTGCCACTGCCTGCCCCGAAAGCACAAGGTCCTGAGTTCAATCCCCGGTACCAAAAAAAAGGCAAATAAACCTTGCATCCTCTCGGGGTCATGACACACAGAACACACGCACTTTCTTTTCTACTAGGCAGAGGCAGAATAAGGAAGCTTTAAACCAAAACACAAGATTTACAGATGAATGCAATGACTGGAAGCGTGTAATAACCCGCTAAGTAGCTCGGTGCCGTCCGACGTGGGACTGAACTATAAAACAGCCTGCCTTCTCCAGCAAAGGCCTGTACTTCTTGCCATCACTACAGAGCAAACAGCAAAACTGGGCCAGCCCCGAAACAAACTCACAGCAGAGCTCTGACATCTTACTCTCACAAACACCATCACAGGTCCCATCTGCGTTTAGCGAACCGGAAAAGCCAAGGGCCCCTGCTAGAAAGCACACCCTTCTCAAGGACCATGGTGCGGCCTAAGGTTAAGGGCAGCCAAACCAACCATTTCCACGGCTGTGGTCAGGGTTACATGACTTAACTAGTCAAACTCAGAATGGGTTCTGGAGAGAGAAGGAATAAACAGGAAGCCCAGGCAAGGGCAGCCAAACTGCGAGGGGCAGCCGGGCCGAGCTCAACTCGCAAGCAGGTAACAGAGCAAGGCCGGAGAAGCTGACCACACAGGGAGCTCCAGGGTGTCCTCCAACAGAGTCCAGACTAAGGGGAAGGTTGTTCAGCATCGCTGTTTCTGTTTCCCTTTAATCTCCTGAAACCAAATGATGTTCAGAAGAGGGGCAGATGACAAAATACAGCAGAGAACATCTGTAATACCCAAAGGCAGGTTTTAAAGACCAAATCGAGGTGTGGCCCTTGGGAAGCCCTTGTCAGGACAGAGTGTGCAGAGGAAGAGCCAGTGCAGGGCAGGAGAAAGAGCAGGCCTCAGAAGGCGTCCGTGGAGGGCATGGGGACACCGGGGAAGACAGCCCACTGCAGCACAAGCAGACCGTGTGTGTGCCCTTTCCTCCCACAGGCACCTCCGAGACGAAGCCGGCAGGGATTCTGTCACTGCTCAGCCTCAGGAATGCACAACAAAGCAGACTGTCCAGAGAGCGCTCAGCCTGCACGTGTCACGCTGCTGGAGGCTGGACCACCACAGACAAGTGCTCTAGGTGGACAAGAGCGCAGCAAAACAAGGTGCCTCCCGCAGACATGCACCACGACCGAAGTTCCGCAACCATAAATACTGAACTCACAGGCCGGTATGATGTGTTTTTTCTCTTTTACACTGGCCTTCTGGCATTCAATAAAGCTTAGATGAAAAAATAATACCACTGAGAGCAACTAAATACACTGTGCTCACAAGAGAAAAATACACCGGCTGAAACACATATAACAGAAGAAACTGGAAAGAGCACTTGAGAATTTCAGAACTATCTCACACTGTTCACAGTCAGTCAGGAAAACCACAACAGAGCCCCATGATTCACACACGCAACAGATTTCAGTATTAATCAGACTAAACACAATCTACCTCACCTGTTTTAAAGATGGCAGATGATGTTATCCAAACATATCCTGTTAGTAGACAAGGAGGGACACTGTGCCTTACTTTTCCAGGGTGTACTTTATACATTTAATTACTAGAGGCACTATTTGCAGCAGTTTCTTGAAAAATATAAAAATTTAAATTGAATGTCAATTAAATCCATCTAAATAGTCCCTTAAAGGTAAAGGTTTAAAAGGAAAACTGCCTTAAATTGAGGAGAATTTATGTCATGATGTATAAATTACGCTATGGTCACCCAGCACAAGAGTTGAAACAACACACAGCACAGTGAAATCACTGTTTGCTTCTCCAGAACGTCTTACACATCCACCCAGCGCATGCTTTCGCTGACCAACAACTCTGAAGGATCCTACTACCGCTAATAGATGCCATCATTTGCAAAGGAAAAATGTATCAATTTCCTTTGCCTCCATACTAAAGAAATAAGCTAAAGTCTGTTTAAGATGCTATATATATCTTTGCTTAGAAGGTGTCCTTCCCAGATGTAGTTCTGAGCCTTTATACAGGTGCTGATTTTATACTGGTTTGTAAAACAGATCCTAGTGAAAAGGTCAATACCCTCCTCCCACTAGTCCTAGTGTTGCCCTACGGACCGATATGATCCCTTGTCCGCCTAAAAGCTCAGCCAGGAATACATTTCCTCTAAAAGTTCCTTTTTATCCCTTCTCGGTCTTTTGGCTAAGATCAAGCATAGTATCTGTTCTTATCAGCTCACAGAAGTCCTCTTCACTCTACATAAACACTCCAGCTCCTTCAACTGCTCCCAGAATGAGATGAATCATCTTGCTCACATTCATGTGCTACTGAACACACACACACACACACACACACACACACACGCATGGAGCACAACTCAGTCCTCTGACAGGCTCCAACAGCCAGGTTCACAGTGGGCCTGTCACCATGACCTTAGAAGTGTTCCTCTTAAAACACAGCCAGGGCTATCATCACTGCTGGTCATCCCATTGCACAAGGACACACACTGCGCTCGCTCTTAAAATCCTGATGCCATAGCCAGCACTTCGGGATTGAGGGTGTATTTTTCTTAGCATAGGACTTTCTGGATTGTCTTCCAATTAATGTCACATTGTCAGTCTGACCAATCATTCCTGCTCATCAAAATCTTTCAGGATATTCTACCATCCCACCTATCATGTGACCCTAACTGTGTCAGGGTAGATGGATCCCAGTGTATTTCTACTCCACGGCAGACTTAAAACACTAAACAGGGTCAGGCTTGGAGGCTTCTCTCTGCATGATGCTAATCATCTCACATGGAGAGAGTACTAATTTTTGAACTGCAGCTAGAACCAAAGAAATGCAGATTCTAGAATTGCTTAAATTAAGTCCTATCATTTCCCTCTTCAGGACACACCAGTTATTTCTGGTCACTTTACTATGTGAAGTTAGCCCCCACACAACCTGAATAACCCTCTATGCTGACATCATATTGCAGGCAACACTCTGTGAGCGCAAACCTGCCGCCGCAGCAGCAGCATACCAGTGTGAGGTCAGGGTCCTGCAGCCAACGGGGAAGCTCCGCCGGCTGGCTCATCGCCTGGAACAGGGTGGCCCGCAGCGCACAGTAATTATCACCGCGGACTCGCCGGATGGAGGTGAACTTCTGAGAGACCTCCTCATAGCCCTGGGAGAAAGTATCAAAGAATGCGAAATAGCGGTTACTTCAGAAACTCGTAGAGTCCCATTCCCGTGGAAAAAATTTGCCTAGACCACTGGAAAAATGGAAATAAGACTAGCAGAGTCCTTCATGTAAAACATTCAAATTCCTTTTCCTTATCCCATTTATTTTAAAAAGTTAACACTGCACAAAGTACCAGCAAATGTAAGAAATGCAACAGACCTGACATACAAAGTAGTAACAGTATTTGGGCACTAGCTACCCCCGAAGCTGGGAGTTCTACGGCCCTTTCTAGCAGCTACTGGAACACCTGCTCACTGGTAACACTGAAAGGTTTAACCCGTGTTTAAGTCAATTTCAAATTCTCTTTAATGAAGAGAACAGGAAAAAAGAGATCCACTAACTTAACGTCTCCATATTAAAAGATACAGGGAAAGGCCCAGTGTCGAAGGTGTATGTGTAGAGGTACAGACACAGCCTAGCTTAGCAGTGGGACAGCATCCCAAGAAGTGCAGTGTTAGCGACTTCATCCCTGTGTGCGCATCACAGGAAGCTCGCACACCCTCATAGGGCACAGCCGGCTATACACCTCAGCCACGCGGCCTCTTACTGGCAGCTGTAGCAGTGGATTGTGCACACCTAAGAGCCCCGACAAACAGAACGCCATGAGGTTAAATCAGGTACAAACAAGAATCAGGCAGTGAAGACACAGTGAACAGGAGCTACATGAGGCTGCTGCCAGTGTAGTGCAGCATGCTGTCTTACAGTATGCACTCTCAAATAGGACAATACTACAGTAAAAACAACAGCACAAGTCATTTGTTATCAAGTATTACACCCCATACATAATCTTAAGTGTTCTGTTCTTATATGACTGGCCGTGCAGGAGGTTTGTTTACATCAGCATCACCGCAAATATCTGAGTAATAGGCTGCATCTCAATATAACCATGGCTACCTCACTAGGCAAGGGGAATTTTTCCAGTAACAATTTTACGGGACCACCACTGTATCTGTGGTCTGCTGATCACAACATTATGTGGCACATTACTGTGTGTATGTAAAAGTCTACAAGCTGAAAAATGTCTAGATAATTCTGTTGTCACTCTTGCTCAGTCTGCAAGTAAAACAAGGAAACGAAAAGGCTCAGTGACAACCCCGGCCACTCAAAAACAGCCATCAGGGCCGGGGATTTAGCTCAGTGGTCCCACCACTTGCCTCTCAAGTGCAAGATCCCGAGTTCGATCCTCAGTACCAAAAAAAAAAAAAAAAGACCAGCCATCCAAGTGGCCCAGGCTGAGAAAGGACCCATGGACACCTAGTGACTCTGGTCCACAGGCAAGTGGGATGCTCTCATCACTCCAGGTGAATGCAGCTCCTGGCTGGGATTGACTGCTGCTCCCTGGCCCAGTCATCCTGCCCTTCCGCCTCACACAACCCTACTTCCTCCCTTGCACTTACATGACAGAAGGAGTGTCACGTGGAGTAAGCGCAGTGCACACGACCTCAGCCTCACTATTAGTCATTTTCAAAGTCTGTGTCACAGCACGATGTTCTAACGTGAATATGACAGTACTTCTTTCCAACAATAAAATTTTGAAGAGTTCTGTTTGTATTTTGTAGTCCAACTACTGCCACATACAAGGGACAAGCAGGGAGCTCCAGACCTACTATATGCACCCGTTCCCTCTGGTGGGCCGCTAATTATCCCAGAACACTTACCACAGCAAATTCAACGCAACTGTACCTTTCTAAATACATAATTAGGTACCTGCATAAAAAATACTACTTTGGAGATGAATCAAACTTTTAAAAATTAAATTAGGATTTATACGGACTTATGTACATCCAAAAGAATATTAAAACAACAACAATTAGGCAAATAAGAAGTAAAATAAAACAGATCAAAGCTGGCTTCAGGCACCAAGATGCAATATTATGCCACAGGTCCTGACAAGATGCTTTAGTTACCGGGTTACTGAAACAAGCCAACTACAGGGTTTGATCTTACTTTCCCTGGATCTAATTCCACAGGAAAAGGATTTTAGCAAGAGTTCCAAAATATGGAATATTGGGTAACTCAGTAATGAAATTTAAAATGCCAACTTTTTAAAACAGATCATTAAAGAGACTCAGGCCATAAAATAAAACTATAGGTTGGTGAAAGCATTTCTTGGGAAGATCTGAAAATATTGTTTTGATACCTGGCTTTCTGGTTATCTAGTTTGGAAGTCAGAAAAGCTATGAGAGACTATCACAGTGGGAAAAACTATCTCTGGGAGATAAGAAGTGCACTCAAATTCATTATGTAAACAACCAAAGAGAAAAACATGCAAAAGATACAATCCGGAGGTCACAAGAGGTAGTGAAAGTTTTAGGTTGACTCTGCTATCAAACAGTAGCAATCTCCCGTGGTCCGACCCACCAAGCAGTTGGACTGGGGCTGCCTCCTGAAGGTGGACCCCACAGCTCCGCTGCTCCATCTGCTGTGCAGTGTAGGTGGGCCGAGGCATCTGAGCCAGCAAGACCACATCATGGGGGCCTCTGGTATCGTCCCCCAGTCTTAGAATCTTGGAGATGACCTTGGAAGCCTCTGCGTTGCCAATCCGTGCAGTGGAACTGAGCGAGGCCAGTCCTGGGGCACCATCAGGCTGAGACAGGCACTCCCAAATGAGTCCCAAAGGACCACTGGCGAGCCCAACTGGACAGCACCATCATTTCAGTGTTTTTCAAAGAAATTAGGTTACTGAATAACTGACGCTGGTTCTATATTAATACTATGACTCCAAACAAGTCCCTTTTCTTTAGAGTCTGTTTCCTCATCTCTAAAGTTAGAACAAAGTCTAGAAGCAGGAGTCTGAACCAACACCTAAAAACATAAAATGACACGTAACTTATGATAGACTATTCCAAAGACTTGAAATGTGTGCCCCTGGGCTGTACCTTTTTCATACATGTTGCTTTCTGCGTATTACCCCTCCACTCCTTTTTGCAGTAGTCCATTATATCCATTTCGGGAGCCACACTCAGTCTGGGTTCTGTTAAAGAATCAAAAACAAAAATTTAAAAAACTAACAAAGCAAAGTGTGATCCAAATACTGGCACTGCTTTTCTCAGAGTTCGGCTTCACATCCCATGCTCTCTCACTCCATTTAAAACACCCGCCCGGCCAGTCTAGACCGCCGTCACTGCACCCAGGGGAAGGGGCTGGGTCTCAATGGGCCCTCTGTCCCCACACCCTCCGGGCCGTTCTCCCATGGCAGCCAGCCAGGGACGCCCAGCTGAAACCCGAGTCGGACGACAGAGGACAGACTACGGCACGGCGCATTCCCCCAGCGCATTCTCAGAGAGCTCCAGGGGCTGCGGGCCCACTCCTCCCGTGATAGAAAGCCACAACCCGACCCGCGCCCCACCGCAGCCTTCCCTGGTTCTCTCCCACACCCCGGGCCGGCTCAGCTCCGCCCCACAGGGCTGCCCCTCCTCCCTGCAGCCTCCCGTGTCCCCGGTGCTAACTATCACAGTTAGCACACGCGATCCTTTATTCCTCTCCTACTAGTTTTTCTGCTCAGTGTTTATCAACACCTGACATTTTTTTCGGTAACCTCCCCAAACACAGCCATACACAAACAGTGAAACGGGAGCTCCTTGAGGGCAGGGGCTTTGTTCTGTTTCTGAGTCCTCAGAACCTGAAGCTGTACTGACCCACAAGTCTCCGCAAATGCTTCCCTAACCAAAAGTACAACAGTCTCATCTGTGAGAAAATGCTCCTCCCAACTGGTAATTAGTCATTCATATCTACTATACAAAGAGATAACTCGTACTATAACAAGAACACTTATTTAATTGTCTCATTCCAGCCCTATATTTTGACAATTAATCAAAAATAACAAAGCTCTCACTATTTGTTGATCCACAGACCTCATTTGACTCTAACAACACATTACTCAAAATTATAAATACAACTCATGATCAGAAAAATATAGGTTTTAGAAGGAAAAAAGGCTTTTAGATTTTCCTTGTTTAACCTGTATGGGGGTTGATTTTTGTAGTGTATGTGTACACACACATGCAATGCCAGCATGTGTCTTTTAGAGAAAAAATGAAGAAAATGAAATAAATTCCTGGGTACATCCTGACTTCCTTTGTAAATACTGGAGATAAGGTGTTAGTGACGATTTGGGGACATAAACCTGGAAGTACTTCACAACCTATTTACTGAAGAAGTTGTACATAAAAGTGTTTTTTGAGCTCAACTCAAGAAATATTTATTGACTGTCTGGTATGTGACAAACCCTGAGCTAGGAACTGGAGCTATGCAGGCAATGAAGATGGAGATACAGCCCTGAAGGGTCTCACAGACTACTGACAAAGACCACAGGCACTTAAACCGGATGCTCACTGAATCCTTTCATAAGGAAAATGAACCTTTTACATAGAAGGGAAAGTTATACATACAGCAGGATTAGCTTAGAAGTCAAACAGACCCCTGAGGTATAATACAGACACCACCAATACCAATGCTGCACAACCAATCCCTAAAGGCTTTGCATCTTTTAAATTCAAGAAATATTTTGTGCCTGCTTAGTGCAGGGAAGAGTTCCCTGTATCCGCCTTCCCACTCCCACTCCCCCTCCCCTCAATCACGAACTATAAATCTACACAGTGAGGACACTCTTCCTGCTCCCCTCTCTGCCTGCTGTCCCCAAAACATGTGGGTCTCACACACACACACACACACACACACACACACACACACACAAAGACCTGGCCCCTGGGCAGCCCCATCACCTCAGGACTGAGGGGAGGAGGCACTGGGGCCTCACACAGGCAAAAGGTCAAGCCACCGGCCACTGACTCACAGGTGCTGGCATGGCTGGCAGCATCAAAATGCTGCCTGAATCCCCATCTGGCCACTGCTTTCTGGAAGGAGGACTCCAGCGGCTAAGACTCACCTGGCTGGGCTGGGAGCAGGAGAGGAGACCAGAAGCTCGCTGAGGCTAACAGGCCCTTTCTTTAACTATCAACTACAGTCTCTGATTTCTGTGTCTAAGACAGAATATATCTAACAGCAAAGCACAAAAATAAAATTGGGCTGGGGATTTAGCTCAGTGGTTCTGGCATCTGCCGCGCAAGCGAAAGGTCCCAAGTTCGATCCCCAGTACCAAAAAATAAATAAAGGAAGGAAGGAAGGAAGGAAGGAAGGTAGGTAGGTAGGTGAACACCAGACTGGCAAACAATGGAGATGAAATAACCAAGGAGTTTGGTGAACGATCAGATGAGTGACAAACACAAGGATCAGACCCCCAGAAGGTAGAAAATTAAAACTTCTCTGGGAGGCTGGAACTCTCAGAGGACAGACTAGAACAAGAATCTCAAAAACTGGGACAGACAGGAAATAACGTAAGCTTTAAGAGCCAGAAGGTTTCTGTCACTACTCAACTTCACCATGCACCAAAGCCACCAACTAAGAAGCTGGCAGCTCAGGTTCAGCCTCAAAACATGGTTTTCGGACCCCTGAATAGGTGAAAAAGTCTTTCTCCCCAAAGAAATATAGGATAAGAACCCTTTCTGCCTCAGGCTGGGCTCTGCTTTGGGGAGGGGGTGCAGTGCTGCCCAAGGAGGGTGTTTCAGGAAGGCCGATGAACTCGGGACTGAGACCCACAGACCGAAGGGACCCACTTTACTCTGGTACTAAAGCCGAAGTTACAAGACCACTGAAGAGCTAGAAGGCTTGCGTGGGGGACAGCACTGCACAGAAGAGAATCACAGCAGAGCCTGGAAAGAGAGAGAGAAACCTGGGGGTTCCCCAGCAGGAACGACGGCTCAATGCGCCGTTCTCCCGAGAGCAGCACTCTGCTGCGAGTGATCCAGGGCAACCACGGCAGTGGAGACCAAGCAGGACCGAGTGTTATGAGGCCCAGGAGCACACCAGGCTGATACAAAGAGTATCTCCTCTGGCCACCACAGGGCAGAGGTCAACAATTCCCTCTGGGGAAGACTGGAAAACACCATCAAAAGCCTTACTGATACTGTTGATTCCTAATTACAATAACGCTTTCGTTAACCCTAAGCTAATGGAAGCCAGTCCTCAAAACGAACCAGAGCAGCTGAACCACACGGCGCTGAGAGAAAAGGCCCTGCGAGCTATCTGCACAGTGCCCCTCGGCCTCTGGGGCCTGCGGAGGACACGCTTCACTCGCAGCCCTGCAGCACCACTGCTGCTCCACAGGCAGGAGAACACTGCCTCAGCCTCGCTGTGGGCCTGGCGGGGTGGGAGGGGCAGCCCCAGAGGAGGAGGAGAAGGATGGGAATCACAGGAGCGACAAACAGTAGTGCTCCAGAGCCTATGATCATTCTTTCTAGTCATCAGATTCACGTGGTCATCTGTGTCCAAAGATGCACATGGCCAGCTTCTCAGTAACTCCAACCGGAAATGAAAACTGCATTTCAAATTCGAACTCTGCATCTAAGAATATAAAGAAATCCAGAACCAAGAGACGGCAGTGCAAAGAAATTAAAACTATCTTCAAAGACACAAAACAACATGAGTGTAAAGAATACCGAGAATAATGGCATTAAAACTTTACAACCTCAGCAAAGTCGTCCTCTTAAGCCAAATCTGAAGAATCTTTCCTCAAAGTACATCCACATTTTATGAAAACAAATATACGGATTTAACTGCATTTTCTACTATAAACAGGAGGAACTCTATAAATAAAACAATTCCAAACATACCTGATGTCCCTCTTTCATGAATAAGCAATTCTTTCTCCTTTTCTATTTCATCTGCAGCTCGGTACATGTCCTCCTCGCTGAAATCACACCAAAGTAGACATTTTCAAACACTGTGGCACTGACATTTTCCATTGCATCACAATAAACAGCACTTACAAATGTGTAAGACACTAGCAGTCTAACTTTTCATGTTAGGTGGTGATAATCACAAAATAGGGGACCTATCCTAGATGCTCATGTTTCTACCTCACCACTTCCCCATTTCAGAAGTTACTTTAAATGATACAATTTATATCACTCTACTGTCTACATGGCTCTAAGGCCATTTAATTAACATCTGTTAATGCCCCAGCTGTATGTCTAGACATCTTAGCACGAATTTTATCAGTGAAACTCTCAAAACGATTCAGTCAAGTTCCAAGGATGGGAATCAGATAGGAACGTGGGACAACTGCCAACTTTCATTACATGTCACAGCAAATTTAACAATAGCTCTTCTGAAATCAAGAATAAGACAGCATCAATTATTACCAGTCTCCAAGGCTAAAGACCCCTTGAGGTTACCCGTTCCCTATCCTTCACATTCAACATGCCCCCGGGTGGTAGTTGCTAGCACCACTACTGACTCCTTAGACGGCTAACAGCTTTCCAAAGTGTCCGATGCTGCCTGAGAGCGACTGGGCGCCAGACAAAGATGAACAACAGGACCTCAAGTCTGAAGATGCTGCCCTTTCCCAAGATGCACCCCAAAATGACAATGAAGGAAAACAAACACCAACTCTACCTCTGCTGAAAGCAGAAGACGCATGAAGGCCCCAAAGGAAAGCAGAGTGGTAAACGACCCAGGCCAGGAAGCACAGGGCAGGCGAGCGAGCCTGGCGGAACCCCAGAAAGCCTCAGGAATTGGTGGCTGTAAGTCCTGCTGAGGCAACACTGAGCTAAAAACAAGGAGCTTGGCTGACATCCACACAAGGAGCACTCAGATCCCCAATTCCCTAAGCTCACACAAGACTGCAAGGGGGGCCTCCAGACACAATGGAACACGAGGAGGGGGGGACTTGTCAGGCTACAACACAAAGGAATACAATCATAATGACGGAGGCACCCCAGCTCCTATTCTATAGCCCATACAACTCGGGGAAAGAAGGTAACACAAAGGCATGCTGGGAGAGGTGAGAATTTAACAGCCTGCTGAAACCTTTCCCTGTGCCCAAACCCTGGGAGCCACTGTCAGACTCTACAGCAGCCACCACTCACCTGCAGCCTGAATTCGCTTATTCCCCAGTGCTTATTCCTAGCACCCTTCAGTCCCAACACCTGCCCGACACCACACTGCTCTGCACCTGTGAGCTGCTCCAGGCGTCTTCTCTCCCACACCTGCTCCCGGTCCTTACCTGCCTCTTGCCTAAGCCAGCCTGAGGCACGCTGTGTGGGGCGGCCTCTCCAGGGAGCAATGGCCTGAGTCGGGATGGGCTCAGACTCTCAGAGCTTCACCGCCCTCACCCAGTCCGTGAGCCATAATGACAGCAGTTACTAGAGTAATGACACTGCTCAGTGCCTAACCAACCACCTATAAAAAGGACAGTAAGTATTACTGTCACTCACACAGCTGCTGAGAGAAACAGGCACATGTAAAATAACTAGTATGCTAAAAAGTTAGCTGTTCATACTAATTCTCAAATACATTCACTGGAGTAGAACATTAATAAATAATCAGCCCACTGGGGGAGGCGGATTTGAATCCAGAGCTTCATGCATGCCAGGCAAGTACTCCACCGCTGAGGTACATCCCCAGCCTCCAGTGATTACTTTCCATTCTCTTTTTTCCTTTCTGAATAAATGGGGGGGGGGGGGGTTCCTGGTATAATGACATGGGGTGAGGGAACAAATACAGCTGAGAAGGTACTTCTGACTACAGTGAGATTACGTGAAGTCACCCATGGAGCCTGTGCCAGAGTTAAAACCAAACAGAAATCTGATTCAGGAACTAACAATCAAAGACCTTAAATAAAAAGCAACCATATGTGTTCATTCTTCTCTTGAAAATGGCACCTTTCAGCCTCCTTCCTAGCTCCATCAATGAGAGAAGTTCTCATCCTCTGAAAGAGTCACCTAAGCAAATCACTTCCTTTACTTTAGCAAAAGCGTGTCTCTAGCCAAGCGCTTCCTCAATCTTGCCCTCAGTGCTCTCCTCTTCAGAATGAGAAGATGAGAAGAATGAGGTCTATGAGCTATGCTTCCTCTTCCAGTTCTTACAGTCTACACAGATGCTTGTCGTTAAAAACAGCACTGCAAGCGAAAGCTGTGGCTGCTCTGTATGCATGTTTGGCTCCGCTTTGGTCTCCTCCCTTTTTAATCTACAAAATAACCAAAAACATAATCACAACACAAGTGCCCAGAGGAGGGTCTCCAAACAAGCATCTCACCACAGCCACAGAAACAAATTCCCACAAAGGCCCTCAGGAAGAGAAGGAAAAGAAACTAGCAGAACTCAATGGAATAGGAAGACAGAACAGAAAGAGATTACTGGAAATAAAAAGCAGTGATTCAGAATACAGTACACAAAAGAAGCAAAGCAGAAACTGATGAATAAGAGGCCTAGAGTATATGCAAATTATGCAAATTACCTTCCCCACAACTGGATTTCACTCAGAGCCTGTGCAAGAATATTTGTTAACTTCCTTGGCCACCAAGGACATGTGGAAATTACAAATGACCCTTAAATACAACCCCAAAGGTGCATCTCCCTGAACAAAAGTATAAGGTTTAAACTTAAGTCATGAAATAAAGCTCAATCAACACAGAAAGGAAGGCACTGAACAGAATAAAAAATGTATCTAGGTACTGTCAGAATAATCAAAAAGAAAGAAAGGAGAATGACATATAAAAATAATTGTTTTAAAAATATTTCAAACTTCTGCCTTAAGTTTTAAGTGTCAAAGTATTCAAGCTGAAAATAATGACAAGATGAAGTTACATTTAAAGCTGAGAATGTGAAAGAGAGGTTTGGTTTGAGTTTTTGTTATGGGAAGAAAGACAGTGAAACAATGAAAGGAAAAGGGATATTACAAAATAAAGCAGACCCAAAGCCGAACAACTCCAGAGCAGGTAACTTTCTGTGTCGGGAGGGAGCGGGAAGGTGTCCACTCTGGGCAAAAAAGAAAGAAAGAAAAAGGCCCCTGAGGCCCACAGAGCCGGAGGATCACGACAGCTAGAAAACATAAACACAGCCAGAAAAGTGGAAAAGTAAGACACTGTTGTCAGTGACTCGATTTCCTGGCATGAGTCACAATTACACTGTTGAATTAAATTTTGAAGCCAAAATAATGATCCCTAGGTTAGAAAACTTTTAATTTATGCCATTATTAAAAGGCATAGTTTTATGAATGCTCTTTTCTCTATGCTATTACTCTAAAGTATATTTTCAAGTTCCTACTAAACCCATTTCTCAGAAGCTGGAGATGAAATATTTTAGTACTAGGATGATATACCACATTGAGTAAGCTACATGATACTGGACATTAAATTACAACTGGTCACTGGTGCTCTTCAAAGACCTCCACACCAACACATTCTTGAAGACTTTTTTTCTCACTAGAAAAGACAAAATCATACCATTTATAAGAGCAAAAGCTGAAAGTTAAAAGCAGAGCTCAGTGAAGCAGAAGATATTTCTGTGGAACTAATTTTTCAATTTGTGATGAAAAAAGGATTCTAATGTATATACAAAGCTAAGAGGATAGAATTTTCATCACCATTAAGAACCTCTGTACCAAGATCCCCTTAGTTGTCTCAAAGAACTGAGTGTGGCTTTGTTCAGCTCTCCGAACTTGAGCCCTGTCCTAGACTAACGGCCCAGGCAGTGTGGGTGAGACCATCAACCCACAGGACCCCAACACACCTCCACACACAGACACAGGAAAAGCCGAGACCACTCAAGCCAGCCCTTCTCCACCGCTGAGTGGTTGCAGAGAGGGGTGAACAGCACATTAAATGCAGGAAAGTACCGGCACCCAGGCCAAAATTCCACTGCCTCTTGCAAGTGGACTTTCCATGACTGCCTCGTGTGGCTCCCTGTGACTTCCAGGGGTATGTAGGTAGGGACAATGCAGCCATCCTCAACAAGGACGTTTGAGTCTCAAGACATCCTAGCTCTGATCCCCAAGGCAGGCTTTCCCCTCCATCAGATGGGAAAGGAGATGGAACTGCTGTTACCCCACTGTACAAAACTTATATCCCCACTCCATACCCTAGGAGCTTGGGGTGTGCTAGAAAACACATCGCACAATAGTGTGCTTAGCAACACCCAAGGACAATGCCTTAACACTTTTGGGAATTCACAACTTTCATCATCTTGACCCAGAAACAAACACAAATTTTTTTTGTTTTAAGTACTGGGGATCAAATTCGGGACCTTGAGCTTGAGAGGCAGGCAGCAGCACCACTCAGCTAAATCCCCAGCCCAACAAACACAAATTTTGCCTTCAGCCTTCAACTGCATAGGACTTCGGACAGTATATCCCCCCACACACAGCTGTGAATCCCAGACTCAAGCCCTGTCTCACCCTCGAGCAGAATGAGAAGTGCCACTGAGCAGTCCCTTTCCTCCATTTCTTAAGCACTTCTATCCTGGCCAAGCATGTTCTCAAGAACCAAGCTAAGGACAAGCAGCAGACACAGAAGGAGTCAAATGCTGGTGGTAGGATGAGCAGGCGTTAAAGCACAGGAGACCTGCTGGCAGGAGTGGGGAGAGCGTCCAGAAAAATCAACTAATCTGGCCAAATATAAAATTATCTTCAAATAGGACCCTAAATTATCCTGTGAGCTCTCCTGGGGGCTTATCTGAGAGACACCAGCCAACCGCAGCTCTCAAAGGAGATAATGAAAAAGTAAAACTGCAATCAGATTTAGAAAATAGCTCGCCCGTGTGGCTCGAGTCCTACTTCTCTTCCTTGTGAAACACAGTAAGCTTGCTAGAAAGGAAGCAGAGGGAACTGTGCTGCTAGGAAACAAGCCACCCTCGTGGCTTTCAAAGAGTCACAGCCCAAACACACAATTCAGCTGCAGGAGATGGGCTATGTTTGTATTCATAACTACTTTCTTCTAAATGTATTAAAAATGACTCCATGGACTATCTTGAAACATCTACAGTCTTATTATGTTGCATATTTCCATTTGCAAACACTTGAATTGATTCTATCTGGGTGGAAAGAAAGGCCTTGGCTCCAGAGACTAAAGAACAGACTTTTAAAGGGTGTCACATTATTTAAATTTACACTCACACTACTGAGCTGCATGTTTTTATGACACACAGCACAGTTTCTCTAGCCCATGAGAAAACATTACAGAGCAAAAAGATATTACCTACCACACAACCCATCTGTACCGCTGATGCAGGAAAACGAACTGGGCTAGGAAGCTCAAAACTTTTAAGATCCTAAATTCAAAAAATGACATTTGAAAGCCAGGCTAACTCCCTTGATTTCTCCATCTGATGAGCGTTAAAGGGGAATGAAATAATTAAAGGCAACAAATCAGGGAGAGAAAAGCAATTAAGCTGCTAATAAAACCACAAACCAGAGTATCTATTCCAGGAAAAAGCAAAACAGAAGCCCTGATGCTTGCTGTCATCACAGGCCACGGCCCTCTGCTTGGCTCTGCTGGGAGTGGGGCAGTGGGAAGCACTCCCTCTCACCTGAGGCCATTTCCCCAGCAGCTCAGACTGAGAATCACATCCACCCGAAAACCTCGGTCAGCGACGGTACAAGCTCAAGTGCGGGCATCTAAGTGGAGACCCGGGGCAGCTGTAGCAGCAGGGAGGAGCCAGCATGGCGCAGTGGGCCAGAGGCAAGAAATCCCCTCCTTCACCCTCCGCAGGGTCTGAGGTAGGCCGGTCTCTGACCCAGAGAGCACACTGGCAGCCACAGACCACATTAATTCATTCCTGGACCTCTACAGTGTGTGAATTTAAAGAAGAAAAAGGAGAGGACGCTATTTAAAAATCAGGGTATGTCATGCAAAAGTTAGTGTACCCCAACTCTTTAAATACAGAAGACCCAAGGGGCCACTTGGCAACGTAAGTTCTCTGCGTCCCCAAAGTCAACCCAGGGCCAACTTCACTGACTTAAATTACCTGCCTAGCTCCGAGAGCAGGAGTTGGAGACCTCCTACTGTCAGTCTTTCCCAGCGACTGTTAGTTGACCCAACAGATGAATAATTACCATCGCACTTGAGTACTCAATAAACGAGAATATCAAAGCCCGTGTAAAGCACGTTCTAATGAGTTATTACAATACAGTATATACATAGCAGGTCCCCAGAGGACCCCCTTATAGGAGATTAAAAGGGGATCAAAAGTCTTAAAGGTCCATTTAAACACATTTGACAGTTTAACTTTCCAGAGAATTAAGGTATCTTAAGCTTTCGTCCATTTTAGAAGGCCAATGTCATTTATATGTACCTAGAACTCGAAAGTTTGTAAAAGCTTTACTCAAGTTGCTCTCTGGCTTCCACTCGCACCCCTAGACCCGTGAAGAACATAAACAATTCCGATCTACACCGCCCGCACTGACTTTTCCCGTTTAAGAAGCAAAGAGCGAAAAGTCAGGCCGGAGAGGGTAAAGCGGCACGCGTGGGTCGCACGGCGTCCGAAGTCTGCCAGGCAGGTAGGACCCCCGGGAGCTAACGCGTCGCGGCCTGCCTCCGTGCGGCTGTGACACGGGCGACTGCACTTCCTCCCCGGGCCAGGCGGGCGGAGAGCGCCACGGGGAGCTCGTGAGAAAACCACTCTTCCCGGGTCTGTTTCCCACGTTTCTGGAGCTTTCCCTAACTTCAGAGGCGAGCAGACGGAGAGCCCGGAGGGAGGCGTTGGGACCAGACCGTGACAGGGGCTCTCGGCAAACGCGTCCTCGAATTTCCCTCTTCGCAGACGATCTCCTTTGGAGCCGAGGCCGCCCAGGGACCCAGCCCGGCCCCGCGAGGGGACCCGCGCCCGCCGCCCAGCCCGCGCCCGCTCACTCACTGCTCGGCCGGGCCCCGCATCGAGGGCCGGGGCTGCCCGCCGGCCCCAGCCCTCCCGCCCTCGGCGCCCGCCTCCCGCGCCGGCGTCTGGGCGCAGCTCTCGCCCGGCCACGCTCCGGGCTGGGGCATAGTGCCCCGACTCATGCGGGCACTTGCCCGCAGCACAGGCTCCGCAGCCCGGCGCTTCCCGAAGTCCATAGGACGCTTCCGCGAGCGTCAGCACGGCCCATCCCGCGACCTTTGACCCGCGGCGCCTGAGCATGCGCCTGCGCAGGCTGAGCCACCGAAGCCAGCAGCAGTCTGGGCGCCCCCGCGGAAGCACTGCGCATGCTCTGTTCCCTCGCGCTGCCCCCGCACCTCCGGGTTCTTGGAGCAGAGTCGCTTGGGGATTGAGCGAGTTGGGTGGGATCGAGCGAGTTGGGTGGGATCGTCCGAGCTCTTGGACGGTCTGAGGGGGAGGAGCAGGACGCCTGGGCGTGCAGGTCGCCCACGCGCTCTGTCGTCTTGCAGTGTCGCTCTTGGCTCCCGAAGGACGCTGCGGGTCGCCGTGGCGCTCCCCGGGTGACCGTGCAGTCCCGGTCTCCCCGCCGCGGGCTGGTGTCACAGCTGTGAGGTCGGGCTGGGCCCTCCGGGGCGGGAAGGACGGACTGGTTCTGCTAGACACCGTTGAGCAAGCTCAGGCGTGTGTTCTTGGATCGCATTCTCTTATGTGGAAATTTTTGTTTAAGTGGGATAAGAGCAAAGGGAAGAAGATAGCAAGACCTCGAAGATCCGAGCGTGAAATGTTTGATCCCTCGGGTGGGGTAGGAGAGCACCCTCTACGGATGAGCACCAGGCACGAGCATTACTGTAGCAGAGACTGGACCGGCTCGAGGAGGAAGGGGCTGGCGCGGAACACGAGGTAGCAGGGTGCTTACTGGAAGAGGAAAGCTGTTGGAGATCAGATCATGCAAAGCCTTGTTAGGTTAAATCAGGAGCTTGAGCTTGATCTTCACGGAGTGATCGTGAAGAGTTTGTCCCCCCTACACACACACTGTACTGGGGATTGGGGATCAAACCCAGGGGCGATCTACCACTGCTATATCCTCAGGCTTTTCTTTTTCTGTTTTTAATTTTGAGACAGGTTTTGCTGAGTTGTCCAAGTGGGACTCGAACTTGGGGTCTTCGTACTTCACCCTCCCTTGGTGATTACAGGCGATCTTTCATCTAGAACTGAGAGATTAAATCTCTGTTGCAACCCCAGGAAACTAATACGAGGCTCAAGGTGAAAAGATAATAAAATTCTATCAGGCCAAGTTTGTTTAGGTAGGCCTACCAAGCAGAGTGGTTTTTTGGGGGTTTTTTGGTAGGGGGTTTCGAAGTCGGGTCCTTGCGCTTTCGCAGCAGGCGGCGAAACCACTGAGCTAAATCCCCACCCCTCAAGCAGAGTGTTTAGATTCAGCATTTTATGTCAAGGTTAGAAAAGGCTTTAACAGTATGTTTGAGTGTTTAATATGTCTTTTCCTATTATCCATGTCACACTGGGAAGATAACCACGGGATAAGTTTGGAGACCCACTGGGCCCACTTTAAGAAGGATATCTGAGTGAAAACTCCTTGCTCAGTTGACCATCTATCCGGAAGTACCCACACTAAATGAAAAAGTGCCAGAATACCATGGTAGGTATAATGTGGAGGAAAGTGTTCAAAGGTTTAGGAAAGTTAGACTTAGGTAGGGCCTACCTGCACACCACAGGACGGTTCAGAAGACATACTTTTCACCATGTCTATGAGAAATCTGCAAGGGAAGCCCCAGCATTTTTTTAAGAGATTCAAAGTTGCTTCAGAAGTGATATATATCTTACAGTGACCGTCAAACTGGGCTTCCTTAATGCAATGAGGGTAATAAGATTCCAGAGTGACAGAAACCAAAGGTACTTAATTGACAAAAAGTAGGTGGTCATGGTCACTACAATGGCCAGTAGAGCTAAAGCAGTATTGTCTTAGTGACAGACCTATGACATTATTCTTACTTGTCAGGTCACTTCTTGAAGGAATTGCAAAAGTTAGTGCCACTGTCAAAGATTTGAAAGTTGCACAGTTGACAATACTACAGGCCTTTTCAACTCACCTACTTGGCATATACGGAACACAGATGGCTCCAGGAGAATGACATTGGAGTCTCAAATTTAGTCATATTGTGATTTGTTTCACTGTTAGTTTTGAAAAGATGTTTCCTTGCTTGAGCAAATCAATACATCTGATAGGTGTGCAGCTGTCTCTATTGAGGGCATTTACTTTCAACTAACAAGACTTGCTACATACCTTCTTCCTGCCCTACCACAGATAAATCAGCTCAACCCTGTGTTATAATTTAGTCCATAGCTGCCTCATTTTCCTTCCTCTTCTAAAGAACCTCACATTGAAGATACGCTGATTAGTCCTGGTGGGCAGGAAGTAGCAAGCACTGTGGACTTACTGGTAATATAATTGCATGTCAGAGTGTAGGAAGTAAATCCCCCAAAACTTCAAAAGCTTTCTATCTCAGTGAAATTTCTAGGTCCCACGTGAGACTATCAACATCACTTCTAAGGTGAAGTATCTGTGCCCCCCTACAACAGTAACAGCTAAAAAATGACACTCAGTGCCTACCAGAGGTCTAGACTAGTATGCAAGTCGCTGGGCCATGTGATCACAGATTCAGTGGTGATGGAAGTGGCAGTGACATTCAGAAGCTGTGTTGTCTTTGGCAGGCATCAGTAGATGAATTACAACACAAACCCTTCAGCCTGGAGCAAAGCCCTGTCATCCTCTGGAAAACTGCTTTTAGTTTGCAACTGGATTTTAACCATGGGAACCAAGTAACCATGTGGCCTGATCATGTGATAATATGTATGAATGCTGTTTCATTAATTGAAATACATGCCATGCAATGTAAAATATTAGAAATAGAGAAGTTGTAATCCAAGACAGATGGGAACTACTATCTTCTCATATTTTTAAAATCTAAACTTCTTGAAAAAATAAAGTCATATTAAGAAAATTAAACTCAAATCACCATGTCATAGTTAAACCAATACTTTCCAAAATAGTGAACCATAGCCACTCATGTTATTTTGTACTTCAGTTAAACATTATTTCATCTTTGTCTCATCTTTTAAAATTTCCACTGTATGTTTTACAGTATACATAATACCTAAACATTTACTTTACCATGTGCACATTTTTAACATGCTAGGGATATGTTAATTTTTACTGAGATTATAGAACTAAATTATTAGCTATATGGGTGGGTTAGACTAAGTAAAAAACTAAATTATGACTCAGGAAGCTGAGGCAGGAGAATCACAAGTTCAAGGCCAGCCTAGACAACTTAGCAAGCCCTGACTCAACATTAAAAAAATTTTAAGGGGGGCTGGGGATTTAGCTCAGTGGTTTCACCACCTGCTGCACAAATGCAAGGACCCAAGTTCGATCCCCGGTACAAAAAAAAAAAAAATTTTAAGGGGGAACTAGAAATGTAGCTCAGGGGTGGAGTACTCCTGGGTTTGATCCCCAGTAATGCAAAACCAAAAACCCACTCACTAAATTATAATAACTAGCCTATTCTTACAGGAAGATGAGTAAATAATATTAAAAAGTTGTGAGCTTAAGTAGAAGTCTAGATGATAGTGCTGCTAGAGACAATTCTAGTTAGTTTCTAGCTTTTTCATATCAAACATTAGGCACCTAAACATAATATGATGGCATTGTGATTTGTAAATACTTATACTTGGATTCATGAATTAATACATACATCTACTTCAGGGATCTGCCTTGAATAGTTGAAATATGAAAGATTGCAATTCCTTTTCACTGAACATTCCACCCCTTAGTTGTACCAACTATTCATTGTTATTATTTTGTCCTCTTTAAGGAACTTAGTATAAGTTGGATACATAGCCTCTATTTCTAATGCAATAAACATTTTATCACAAGGTCAATATACCTTATATTTTTACTCTGGAATTTCCCAATGCTACAGAAATAAAAAATAGATTTCAAATGTATTATGTACATCAATTTCTAAAGTATTCACAGGAAAGGTACTTTTTAGTTGATTCTAGTTTCATAGGTTCATGTACTGTACCCAGCCTTGAAAGAAAATATTGTTAGTTTCGCTTAGAAATTAACCACTCTGAATACCCAAGCATTAATTTGAAAGACTCCTTTTCCTAGCTTGCCTCTTGATTATGGAATACTCATTTTTTTTTAATAGAGCAAAAACTTAGTATGCCTTTGCAGCTCTGAGGCTAAAAGTTATTAACACAAAAAAGAGGAGGAATGAGTCCAATTTTAAAAATACCTTGCAGTGGTAGAGTAGTTTACCTGGAAACCCCCAAAACTTTACCTAAAAGTTTATAATTGGAGAAGTTTATATATGGGTCATAATGAAATTTATTTTATCATGAAAATGAAACTATGTTATACTGAAGGAGATAAGAAAATGATGCAATCCTAATTCATAAACTTGGAGGTCTGGAAAATACTTGTCTCCAGCTAAACAGAATTTTATCCTAAAGAAGTAATCCAGGCAGATGACAAATTTGTGTGACCATCTTAAATGCAGTTTCGTAACTAATACCTTAGCATCGGCTGTGAATTGAACTATGTCCCCCTCACCCCCAATTTGCAGATTGAAGCTCTGAGCCCCAGTGTGATTCTATTGGAGTGAGGGTGTAGGACGTGATGAAGGTTGAGAAGGGTTATAAGGCTGAGGCCCTCATGTGGTGGGGCTGGCGCCCTCAGAGGAGAAGGACTCAGAGCTCTCATCCCTTCTGCATGTGAGGACACAGCAAGAAGGCAGGCATTTGAAAGCTAAGGAGAAATGTGGCTCTCACCAGAAACTTCATTGGCTGCCACTTTGACTTCACTCTCCAGCCCCCAGAACTGTAAGAAAAAGGGAATGAAGAGATCCTGTGCCACTTGGTGTCACTTACCATGCCTTCACCTCCACCAGTTGTCTGATGTTAGATCAGTGATTCTTATTTTGCAGCCAGAGAGAAAAATATCAACTCTACTACACCAGTCTACTTGTGTTAAAGTAGGTGTCAGTCTTACCCTGAAAAATCATATCAGGATATACTTTACAAGAAGGACCTGGATCTGCTAATTTGTCTTACAATATTTCACTCTTTCCTTGGTCCAGAATTTCAGGACAGTTGACTAGATCTCCTTCAGAAGATAAGGCCATATAATTTCATCAGCATTGCATCATTCTTGAAGGCTTGGGCAGGCCTTGGATTTAGCTCAGTGGTTCCGGCACCAGCCTGGCAAGTGCAAGTTTCCAAGTTCGATCCCCAGTACCAAAATAAATATATATATATATACATATACATACATACACCAAAGGCTTGGGCAGCTAGAATCTACATTAAATAGTGGTCTTCATCTGAGGGATCTCGTCTCCGGGATGGAGCCAGGCCTGGGGGAAAGTCCCTTTCCCAGGTGTGAGAGGCCATGAATGGACCTGTCTTTTCTCCAGCCACTTTCTTCATGTTCAACATACCCTTCCTTTCCTAAAGTAAAACTTACCTCTCAGCTGCCAGGTGGAATCTGATCATGGCGGGATCCAATCTCCAACTCAGTGCTACAGCACAAGGTGAGAAGAAAAACTCAAAGACAGAATTAAAGAGAGAAATGGGGAGCCAGGATGGCCAGTGCTGACCAAGCAGCAAAAGACTCTGGGCAGCCAAAGCTGCTAATATTTATTGGTGACATAGGTTAGGGTGAGAGTGTGGTTGCTAGAGATACGATGCTGATGCAAGGAAAGCTTGTAAGAGACAAAGCATTCTTAATTTTGGGAATGAAATTTGAATGTGAGTCAACCTGACCTCAGCCCTTCTCCTTTTGGAAACTGCAGCAGCTGTATCAGGGTGAACTGTGGTTGTCCTTGGGGCGTGTTTACTCCTGGGTCTCAGTGGCAGGTGGCACATCAAGTCTGCAGCTCCAAGGGCCATTGCAGGCTAGAAGGTATGCAGTCTCCACATGGCTCTCAGTAAGGGTGTGCATTGCACTGCTTTTGGTGAACTCCTGTCTCAGTCCATGGTTGTACATTCCAGGATGGGAGCCACAGTGTCTATTCTCTATTGGAACACAAGCATACTCTGCCCTCCATGTTATTAATGGTACTGAGTCATTTTACCTTTTAGTTAGGACATCCTTTGACAACCCTTGTATCTAAGACATGTTTGCAGATTTATCTTTATATCAATGGAGTTTTGATGGAGTATATTTTCTTTCCACAAGTGGATTTTAAAAATTTAAAATGAGAGTAACAAGAGAAAGTAACAAAACCTAACTGAGCTTGTGGAGGTAGCCATACTCCCCTATTTTTTATGTAACTGTGTTTTTAGGGAAAGATGAGCATGCCAAACAATGGCTTGTCCCTGTGGGTTATGAGGCCTATAATGTATCTAAATGACTTAGCTGTCCATAATATTTCTCCCTCTAAAGAGCTATCCCAACTGTGCTTAGGAGAGAAGGTGCACAGTTTCTATCTAACTGCTTTGAGCTGAGAAAGGTCGATGTAAGGAAGACCAGTTAGTGGTCCTCTCTAAGGAGCTAATTTAATAGGCCTCAAATAAAAATCATGTTGTAATTTAATAATTATAAACTCTTTATAAAGTCAGTTTGGTGGATCTTGATTTTTAAAAAGTCTAGCACATTTGTTATTGATTTTATCTATATGATCACATGGAATTTGGCAGCCTATAGGCAAGAATGAACAAATTTTTTAAGAAATTAGAACATGTATAATACAGTATAAGCACTAAAATGAAAAAGCAGGTTGGAGAAAGAGTCATGTTTAGAAACTGCTTAAGGGACTAAAACAACAATTATAACCTGCTGGCTCTTAAACTCCTTCACTAATGGAGGTTATCTATAAGTCTGATATTTTGTCATACTTAATTTTAGCTGTAAAAAGATTAAAAATTTAATAATTTTAAAAAACAATTTTAGCTAAAAAGCTTTAAAACTCTTGTTGAGCTCTTATACATTTTACCATAATTTTTTCTAATGTCCCATAACAGTGGTCTGCTATCAATATCTGGAAACTGCCAGAAGGGGTCAGCAATTGGAGCCCCTTCTTATGTCTAGTTTTATTACTATGGTCTTGACTTTATATATCTATTACTCATCCTTTTCTCCTGGGCATTCAAGACCAAGTTAAAATGAGATATATATTAATTAGAATTAACATCTTATTTTCTGTCAAGGTCAGTTAAGTCTCCTCAGGCATTACTTTGGAATCATGTATAGAGCCTCTCAGCTCCTGTCAGTGTCAGCTGTCTGGATGGGTCACAGCTTTGCTAGACCATGTTGCTTTCTGTAAAACCATGGGAGATTTTTCCCTCTGGGTGACCCTCCTTTGGCACACATTATGTTTATTGATTCTTATATTTTGGGGTCCAACAATATCCTTGCTCAGGAGGTTAGGTGACTCACTAAAGTTTTAGGATCTTATAGAAAATGTTCTCTCATGTCCTGGGTCCTTGTTAACCTTGGAGGGCCAGGGCCAAAATACTGGCTATCTTCTTAGCACAATTATCTTTCTAGTTTTGGTCTCTAAACTTCAGTTGTTGAACACCCAGAAGATCAATAACATTAGCATGAGCTTAACTATTATAATTTTACCTGGATATCAAGCACTTTGAAACATAAAGTATAGTTAGAGGACTGTTATTTTTATTAACCATGGTTGTTCTAGTAGTTGAACCCCTATAAAATGTTAAGTGATAACAGTTACATAGTTTTATGGAAAAAACTTAAAATCAAGAACCACACATACTATTTTAGCATGACAAGTATGATGACATTATCTTTGTAACACACTTAAATATTCATTGTAGTATAAAATAGCCTAGTAAGTATCACAATTATATGAAACCCTTTGTCCTTTAGTTTTGTACCAAAAGCATTTTTTAATAAAATCTTATTGTTTGTCCCACAGAAAATTTAACCTTTTGAAGATGAGCAATGTAAACATATCACATTAGTGTTTACCAATATATATTGGGGTAAGTCTTTTATAAGGCTATGGCAACTATTGGAGTCCCCCTAGTGAATAAAGGCTGGAAAATATATCCAGGCAGCTGCTCCTTTATTCATCAAGGGAAGTCCTATTAGCAGTCCCTCCAAGCCTAAAGGTCTCCAATTAATTACTTTAGCAAATTTTTTAATAACCTATAAAAACCAGGTTGTAACAATTAACACATTATTTTTAACCAATGAAAAATTTTTGAGTTATTATATACAGACAACAATATGCATTGCATTTGTAAAATTAATCTTGACATCATTTTGATCATCTAGCAACCTGGTGGAAAAAAGCATGTCTTTAACTTTAATAGCATGTATCTATAAGCCAATTGAAATTATAGGCAAATATTTTTTTAAAATCTAAAATGGAAAAAACTGTTGATCTCAAACAAAACAGCTGTAAGATTGGACAGACAAACACACATAAAAGACAATTTATTTCTAAAACTAGAGTACCCTCAGATATATTTGGCCAAATTGAGTTATAATAACCCTTTTACAATTTTTATAACTATAAATAAGACTAGTCAAAACTTTTTATAGGTCAATTAACAGAGATCTCTTGTAATTAGAATCAGAAGGAATGAAAGCCTTTTATACCTGTAAATGCAAACACAATTTTCAAGGTGGGCCCTAGGCTAATGACCTTTTCTTTTGTCTCACTATAAGTCTTCTATAACAAACTTGAAACCAACAAGCAAACACACATATTTCCTTTGATAAATCAGTTCTACACACTTTCTCGACATACATAAACTTCTCAGTCTTGTCATTATCTTCTCTTTTTATCCTTCTAACAAGACAAAGCCTTTACCATACAAAATTCTTTTGTATCAAAAAAAAAATACATATATATACATATATCCTTGGGCCAGGTATTTAGCTGAGTGGTTCC